ACACACCACAAGCCTCACCAAATGTCTCCTTGCTACCGCAACCTCGCCCACAGGAAGCCACAACCGTGTGGCAGCAGGGAAAGTGGCCACGGATCTGGTTCGTAAGTCGAGGCGAGTTCATAACCCGAGGTAAAATTTCCCTGCCGAAGCTGGTCGTAACCCGAAATGTTCGTTAGTAGAGGCGTTCGTATCCCGAGGTACCACTGTATCTGAATTTAATACCATTGTTATGATATTAAACAGAGCAGTGGTAGTGTGATCTGGTGGGGGATTTTATATTATCCCCTCTGTCATGGTCAGACCACTCCCTGGTGGCCGTGAGATTCTCCTATGCTGCCCCCCTCTGCACGGAGGCGGGACCTATTTGAAAGGTCCGCCCCTGGCGACTGATGGACCCGCAGGGTTTCCAAAGGGAGCTGGGGGTTGTTCCTGAGGCCTTGCTGCACAGTCCAGCAGAGGCCCTGGCTGCAGCCTGGAGTAAGGAGGTGGCTGGGACCTTGGACAGGATTGCACCTGTGCGGCCTCTCTTGGCCCATCGCTCCTGGCACTCCCCATGGTTTACGGAGGAGTTAAGGGAGCTGAAAAGGGCTAAGAGATGTCTAGAGTGCCACTGGTGGAAAACTAAAGATGAGTCCAACTGAACATGGGTTAGAGCCGCTATTAAGCCCTACCTAGTGGTGGTAAGGATGGTGAAACACCAGTATTTCTCCGCTCTTATTGCATCCTCAGAGTGTCCCCCGGCAGCCCTGTTTAGGGTCACTTGGTCCCTCCTGGGTAGGGAGGGCTCGGAAGACTATTTTTCAGGGCCGTGCAGAGGAATTTTCTGAACACCTGACGAATAAAATTGCTCAGATCCATTCTCAGTTGGAGGCCAAGCGTGTGGCAGGTCCGGTGGAGTTGCCCAGGGAAAGTTCTTACCCAGTTATTTGGGAATGGTTTGATCCTGTTGGCCCTGAGGAAGTGGACAGGGTACTTGGGGCTGTTAGTGTGGCTACCTGTATTTTAGATCCTTGTCCCTCCTGGTTAGTTAAAGCCACCAAGGAGGTGACTTTAGGGTGGATACTGGTGGTGGTCAATTCATTCTTGCAGGAGGGGGTGTTCCTGAAGCCTTTCAAGGAGGCTTTGTTCCGCCCCCTCCTCAAGAAACCATCACTAGATCCCACCCTTCTGGACAATTTCTGTCCAGTCTCCCACCTTCCCTTTCTAGGAAAGGTGGTGGAAAAGGTAATCGTGCAGCAGCTTCAGAGGATCCTGGAGGAAACGGATTATCTGGACCCCTATCAGTCAGGGGTCAGGGC